GGTACGTATTAGTTAAATATGGCCAAACCAGAATCACACATAAATACCATACGCTAGTTCATCAAATGTTTTACTCAAAACGTCTCTTTCGAGAACGTTTTACTGGGCCATTTTAAAGCGGCACGGGCGATGCTAATGCTCCAATTATTGTGATATCACAATTGTAATTTCCTATTCGATTTTTTCCTGGATTAAACGCTGAGGAGAGCAGCCAATGGAAGACTTCACCCAAATCGGACTGGCGTTCAGATTGGGTACCCATGCCTCGACCAATTTTTTACTATCATCAGAAACAATGCCGACCGATGATGCCAGTTGTTTTAACACAGAATTTGATCAAATGCATCATCTAACTCTGTACTGTCTGCAAATCTGTGGAATATCTGAATACATAATTTCTATTTTGGAAGAGATTTATGCACAGACTATGGCTGCTGTTAAGGTCAAAGGAGAGCTATTTGAATACTTCCATGTTAACTGCACAGTTCGCCAGAAAGATGTTCTTCCCACTGCTTTCAACGTTGTTCTCAACTTTCTTCTGTGAAACAGTGCTGATTGTAGCAAATGTGATGGTTTCACTCTAGAGCGAAGAATTATGAACGTTGTTCGAGACTAACTTTCAGCGTGCTGAATATATTGCCCTAATGATGAGTACGAGGAGCGAGTTATGCCATCTGACTGCTCCGTAAGCAGGCAGCTGCGAAAACGGGCATTTTTACATGACACGCTAAGAGAGGACTGTAATTATGAGAAACCCATCCGGCACACCTTATTAACAAGTAAAACTGGAAGGTGAAGCGCTGTCGGAAGTTCATTCTTTCAAGTACCTCTGCTTCATAATCTCCAACGACAGCATCATCCAGTCAGCGTTAAATTAGAGCATCGCCTCAGCCTCCGGTGTTTTAGTAACTTTACAATATTTGGGCCCAGAGTGGAGAATGCAGTACATCGTGACTTGTGCACAGAAATCGATGATTGATTTGATCACTCTAGCGTCTAAGGCTCTGTAATGGATACTTGCGCTAAGAGAAACTCAGAGCTGTCCGCCGACCATAACCTACGCTGTGAGAGATGGAGCTCCATGCGAAGATCTGCTCATAGAAGCAACCGGAAAATCAAATGGGAAACATTATCTTCGGTGGACACGAGAGCGAAATTTGCAAACAACATCGCACGACGGTTT